TAGGTCTACAATCTTCCTTTGACTTCAAGATTCACCAATCTCTAGCTTTGAAGATATATAACCTCAAAGACACTCAAAAGCTTGAACAACAGCTTAGAGTTTCAAGGACGTTCTCTCTAACTTCTCTTTAGAAAACTTGATTTATGAACTTATGTAGTTCACTTTTCAAATTTTCCCTTATATAATACAACCCTCCTTGGGTCAACTATCACACACTTAAGCTATATATTCTATAGCTTAAGCCTAGGATTATCTCAACACTAACCCACGTCCCAATACAAGCTAAACAACATAAAACAATATAAGCAACACACAACAACATACATGACTACATATATCATTAATATACATAATTAGATATATCATTAATATACATAATTATGAAAAAACATGGTGTTATAGAAATAATAATCCAACTAACCAAGGAACAACCCAAAGCAAAGGGCCCAATATTAATAATAGTTTGAGAGCCAAGTTGGAGGCTTCACAATGCGTTTAGGCCCCTATTGGTTTGAGTCCAATGGGTCTCTATCAATGCTTTATAAGAGGAGCATTATCCTCAAGGCATGAAAATGGTTGTAAGGAACACATATTATGCTTTCTATGAACATCCTAGATGGATCAAAGGATTGAGGGAAATGATCAAGTGGTTAGGAATTGGGGCCCTTCGATGTGTTAGATTGTGGCATGTGATGGGGAAATATTTGTTAAAGGAAGTGAGAAGATTAGTTGGCACATTAAGTGATGGCAGTGAGGCATTATTGGTGAAGTTTGAACTTAACCATTGGATGACCTCAAGATTTGGGTGAGTAGTTGGAAAATGGTTAATTGGGGAATGATATGTTTCATTGTCTTCAAAGTTGGCATTTGGAAGGTGTGGTTAGGTCATTTTATTCTGTAGGGGTAAATGAGGTAGAGGAACAAAGTGGTGAGTAGCATTGTTGTTGTGGATTTTTTGCTACAACGAGATATGAAATATGGGATGGATGCATGTTCTTGGGGGAAGGATCAACTCATAGGCAACCTTGTTGACTCTTCTCTATATATTGAAGGGCTTGTAATATCTTTATAGAGTGTTGTTGTAATGCAATTTTCATATTAACGAGACATGGAATACGAGATGTATACATGTTGTTGGGGGAAGGATCAACTCATAAGCGACCTTGCTGATTCTACCTTGTATCTTGAAAGGTCCATAATATCTTTACAACAACTTATGATAATGGAGACCCTTAGATGTATAACGGTGATTAAGGTTATAACCATAAGAGGACCTAATTACCCTCTACTAAGGTGATATCAACTTTATTTCTATTTTCTTGTTATATCATGTGACTTTTCATCTTTTTAAGTGTTTGTTTGATGGTCTCCATCATTGCTTGGCACAAATGTAGGGTGGAATTTATTTTGGCATGTGGATAATAGCTAGGTTGATAAAAAGGAAAAAAATGGTGTAGGGAGACCAAAGAAGGGCTAATTGGAATGGTGATGTTTTGATGGTGGAGTTATATGTCAAGTTGTGACAGTATTCTACAAGATGAAGAAAAGAAAACTAGTGTCACGAGTTATCATTAGTGAATTAGCAAAGTGTATTTCAAGGTACTAGTTTAGGAATATAGTCTAACCATCTATTTGGGGATGGTAGCTTGGTTATATTTCAACGTTGTTCCTCGAGCCTTAAAGAGATTATTCTAGAAGGAGCTAAGGAAAAATGGGCATCTATATGAGAGAATAGATCTTGGTATACCATAAAGGTGAACAATATCTACTAATAACTGCTAAGTCAATTACTAAGTAGTGTAGTGGGTGGGAAGAGTAATGAAATGAATAAAATGGGTAAGATGATCATATATCATCCATATTGACCATATAAGTTGGGGAGGTGGGTGATGAAATCCATCAAATGATTATCCAAACTTTTTCTAGAATTGTAGATGTTGTAATAGCCATAAATTTTTCTTTGGCCTATATGTGTTTTGTTGGCAAATTTGACAATGGTGAATGAAGGTTTTGACGTTCGAATACAATCCTTGTTAAGAGAAAGTAGTAGACAAAAGTGCATCACTTGGTTTAGTGCGATAATCAACAAAAAAAAACACCATGTTCCATATTTTTTGAACCAAAAAGACTAAAGAAGAGTAAGGTCTAGATGTTAGGATCGATAATCTCTTTAGAAATCATATATTCAATTAATTTTGACAAATCCCTTGTAAGAGTGAAAGTACTTGTAGGGTTTTACATTTACGAGGGTAGAATTTGGGATATGGTTAATATAGTAGTCATGGGACTTACGAGGGGGAAGACCATGTGGTTTGCCAAAGATGTTTCTAAAAATGGATAGGACATTTTGTATTTATGGAATTGTGGAGATAGATGAAGTAGTAGGGGAAAGAGGTTGGAATGAATTGAGTTTGTTAATGGAAAATACGTGGAATGAGGAAATGAATTTTGTGTTTATGTAATTGAACATCTGCTGCAATGATGCAAAAATGGGGTGGGCAGTGGCTTATCCTTTGACAGTGATGGTAATATTATCTTGTGAGAATGAGAGTTGATGAATTGCAAAGTATGTGTTTAGGGGCCTAATAGATCCAAGCCATTTGACACCAAGAACCACAACAACGCCTTGAATATGTAGGAGGTAATAGGGAATAGTGAATGTTTTCTGTTTAAAGAAAAATGGAACCTCTATGCACAGGCTAAAGCAAGTGATGCGTTGACTATTGTGGAGTAAAGACAAACATAAGAAGGGAGGTTGAATTTTGTCTATAAAACTTCTCAACACTTTTTGTGTAAGTAGTAAAGTAGATATTAGAATTAAAGTGTGTAGACGAAATAAAGTAAAGAATATAAGGTGTTGGTTCATCTCAACCACTAAGATTATGTCTAGTTTTTGATCAATCTAATCAAGTTTCACTATTTTTCATAAAGATATAAGTATTCTTTACACATGTCACTACAAGCTCAACCTAAGTGTTCTTTGATTTGTCTCTTCAAACAAACTACCCAAGTATTCTTTAAAGAAAAAAGCCTCCCCAAACTTCTAAACCAAGTATTCTTTCAATAACAAAGTCTCGATAGACTTCTAGCTAAAACACAAGATTTAAGCTAAGTAATAATAAACAATTGTTTTACACATAAGATGTGATAAATAATTATGTACAAAGAATAAATTTTCAGAGAAAGAATAAAGAATGACACAAGCATTGGTAAAGCCAATGTTATCAAGCACTAATCTTTGTTGGAAGATACAAACATATTAACGTCGCTCATTTTAGTGATGGCTTCATAACTGATGCTTAAGCAACACTAAATAGTTATTAACATTGTCTTTTTATTATTAGCATCAACTTTTGGCCAATAATAATATGCATTTTTCTTGTAGTGTACAAAAAGGTATAAAAATATTAATGCTAAGTGAGATTAAGTCTGTGCTAACCAAGAGAGCCAAAAAGAGATGAAATTTTATCTTATATATATTGTCTCATGCTATTTCTTATTATTTATCTTTTATCTTTTATCTTTTGTCTCATTCTATCTCTTATTATTTATACTTTATCATATGTTTGGAAAATATGAAAGTGAGAGAAAAGTAAATAGAGAAAAAGAAAAATATAAAATATAAAAATTCAATTCTTATTTTTCTTTCAATTTTTCTCATTGATTTAAATTTTAAAATTTCTCTCTTTTTTGACTTTCTTTTCATTCAACCAAACATAAGATAAGAATGTGTTTGGTAAAAGAAATAACATGAAAACAAAGACCAAAAAAGAAAAAGAGAGAAAAAAATTAATATTTAAAAAGGAAGTTGTTTAATAGAGATAAAATATGAAGAAAATAAATTAAAAGAATGGGATCCGATGTAAAAGAAATTCACACAATACAAATGAATTGTTTGATGTAATTATAGGTGTAAGAGAATTAATATTTTTAGGGTCTAAATCAATAATGCTTATGTGTATAGATACTGAATTAATAGACACCAGATTAAGAATTTACGGCATATATAAAGACTAAAATATATATATTTAACCTAAATTTTGTACTAAGAAAATAAAAAATAAAAAATAGAAGGAAAAATGAACTCAAATGAGTGAAGAGTGTACGTAAATTATGATAAATTTATTTATTTGGTAGTGAAAAGTATTCTGCGGTAAATTTAAATTCCTGTTTGGATAATTGTTTTGTATATAAATAAAATGGTAGAAGTGTAGATGTTTTGGAATGAATTTTGTCTTGTTAGATTGGGGTAACACGCGCAGTTTGAGGAGAGTGAGGAAGTGTAAGAAAGGGTCATAAATACAAGGTACAGCGTAGGAAGGGCATTGGTCGCTTGGAGAACGAAAGAGGCAAAGGTGGCCCTCTTCCCGTACTCTTGGATTGGACTTTTCTGGAAAGAGTTTCCTTTTACTACTATTATTCTCATTTCCTTTTCTGATGCCAAAACCTATCCCAAACTCAAACCCCCTCCTCCCTCTTTGCATTGCACACTGTGCTATGCTCTTTACTCATAAATATATACATCAATTATTTTATATCCTACCCTTCCCAAAATACCCCCCTCCCCCACCCCTAATTACTTTCCTTTTCTGTCCTCCCACATGGTAAAACGTAGTCATAATCCTAAAAAGATAAAAACGCTTGGAGGCGTGCGTGGTTTGAAGGAGGGTCTTTGCTTTGCGAAATGAAATCATTAACGATTAGAAGCTAACACAACAAAAGCTAATTTTCAGTAATTATCTTTCTTTAGGACTCCTTGCGCTGTCTATTTCCATTACTGGGTAATTAGGAGCCAGAAAGACACCCCCGGATGCTTTTCGATTTGGTTAACGTGGGAAAGTTGTTTAAGAAAGAGATGGTTCTTTCTTTCCCAATTTTCCCATCTCGTATTTAACTCTCTGACTCCCTCTCTAATAAATAGAGGAAAACAGTAAAAAAAATAATAAAAATAAAAATGAATAAAGAAACAGAAGTAGAAATATTTGTTTTTTCGAGCGAGCCAATGACAAAAAAAAGGACAAGTTAGAGATGGAGAGAGAGTGAAATTATGAGTCATTGAAAAGAAAAGAGAGAAGCAAGTGGTTAGAGAGAGAGAGAGGAAAGGAAGGGTGTTAAGGAGAGGGTGAGATGCTTTCGGCTAAGCTTGCTCAAACTGGCCTCGTCTATGCTGTATTGGGCAGTTGAGGAATACAAAGATCTTTGAACATCTCCTTTACTACATTTTTGCAACACCTACCTCTCTCTCTCTTCACTCGTCCTAGGTTTGATTTTCTTCTCTCAATTCCCAACCTCGCTAGCCGCATCTCCATTATTTTATTCTCAGACCGCGACAACATACCCCAACACAAATTAAAAACAAAAGAGAGAAAGCTTTGGTCTTTTCTCGGGAGAGTGGGAATCACAATCACAAACACAAACACAAACTCAAACACAAACCTTGGTGAATGCTAGAATGTGGGATCTCAATGACTCACCCGATCAGAGGAAGCTCGACGAGGAATCCGAAGGCTGTTCCTCCCTCAAGACTTCCATCGACGGGGACGATGATAACAACAACAAAGGCAAAAGGGTTGGATCTGTTTCCAATTCCAGCTCTTCCGCGGTGGTCATCGAGGACGGATCAGAAGAAGAGGAAGAGGACGACGAAGAAGAACATGGTGGTGGTGCTGGTGGTGGTGGAAGAAGAACAACCATGAAGAAACGAAGCAGCAAGATTTTCGGCTTTTCTGTCACCCCAGATGAAGACTCCATGGACAGTGACCTCCCACCTGTCACCAGGCAATTTTTTCCGGTCGACGATGCTGACGTGGCGGTTGCATCCGGCGCTGCTACCGGAAGCTCCACGTTCCCTCGTGCTCACTGGGTCGGTGTCAAATTTTGCCAATCGGAAACACTCGGTGCTGGAAAATCAGTCGAAGTTTCTCAGCCTATGAAGAAGAGTCGCCGAGGACCAAGGTCGAGGAGTTCTCAGTATAGAGGAGTCACCTTTTACCGAAGAACGGGTCGGTGGGAGTCTCATATATGGTTAGTGCTTCAAAATGTGTACTTGGTAAAATTTAAATAAAAATTCGATTTTTCTTACAATCAAAATTTGATTTTTGTTGGGTCTGTTTGTGTCCGTCGTATTGCAGGGATTGCGGAAAGCAAGTGTATCTAGGTACGTATAACGATGAGAATGATTGTGTGTTTTTGGATTGTGGTAGTTATTATTTTCCCTTAAATCTTGTTTGAAGCGGCTAAAACGGTTTTTTCCCCCCTTCTTTCGTGTTTTTGTCTTGGCTACGATTCGGTAGAGACAAGAGTGTGTTGTGTGTGTGTGTAGGTGGGATAATTTTTGTAGTGATTGACTTGATGGTTTTGTCTGGGTAAATTTGTCTAGGTGGATTTGACACAGCACATGCAGCTGCTCGGTGAGCCCTTGCCCCTCCTCTAGTTTACCAAGCTTGTAATATAACTTTTTCTATGTCTTGAACCGAATCAAATATCAAATATAAAATCACATTTCTTTGCGGGAAATGTGAGGCTGAAACAAAAACGTGTGTTTCGTCTCTCTTTGTAGTGCGTATGATAGAGCGGCCATTAAGTTCCGAGGAGTGGAGGCCGACATAAACTTCAACATTGAAGATTATGAAGACGACTTGAAGCAGGTGATCGGTTTGTGGTTTTTTTTTATTCGATAAAAAAGCATTTATCGTTTTTCTTATCCTGAGCAGTCGTACGTGTAGGATACACCTTATCTTATCTCCTACAGTTGTTATTTTTTTTTCTACTATGTTGAATTATTCGCGTGATTTGGTCGAATACGATGTTAATAGATGAGCAATCTGACCAAGGAAGAGTTTGTACACGTGCTACGCCGACAAAGCACTGGATTTCCGAGAGGGAGCTCCAAATATAGAGGTGTAACTTTGCACAAGTGTGGAAGATGGGAGGCTCGAATGGGCCAATTTTTAGGGAAAAAGTACGCCTTCTTTTTAATCTCTTTTTCTCCTTTTTATTTTCCTTCCAGAATTTTCTCTTTGTTCATGACTTCATGCTATTCTTAAATTCTCATCTTTCTCATCACTAAGCTTAATTCATATAATTCACTAGGTACGTTTATTTGGGTCTCTTTGACACCGAAATTGAAGCTGCAAGGTACATCGTTAATAGTTTATTTAATTACTAGATTGCCCATCTCTAGTGAAGAATATAAGCGGTTAATCTTTAGGGTTTTGATTTTATTGCACATTTTAACTGTAGGGCTTATGACAAAGCAGCCATAAAATGCAACGGCAAAGAGGCTGTCACCAATTTTGATCCCAGCATCTACGAGAACGAGCTTAATTCCGGTAAGCAATGGATTTAAGAATTAAATGTATAAAATTTTCTTCTAATAATTGTGTTTATATTTTATTAATTACACATCCACATCACATGAATAATTATATGTATAATCTATTGGGGAGCAGAATCCACAGGTAACGCTGCAGCAGATCACAATCTGGATTTAAGTTTGGGCAATTCAAGTTCAAAGCCTAGCAATAATCAAGCATTGGGGAATCACGCCTCAAATGCTGCAACTGCAACCCATGATCAGCACCTGCCATCTGAATCTAATTGGCGGAATGGGGGAAGCAAGCCTAAGGTTCATACTTATTTATTATTATATAAAGTTTTTATTATTTGTTTGTTCATTCCATTTCAGTTTCCTAATATCCTTCCTTCTTTTTTTTTCTTCTGCTGATTAATATTTGATTCAGCTGGTGAATATACTCCCAAAACCATGTCACAGAAGCAACAATAAGGACGCACATGGAAGGGATGTGCACGGGGAGAGTGAAGCATTGCGCATGCTAAGTCAAACCCACCTTCATTCTCCAGCCTCCAATGAAATGCAAAGATATGGTCCCTACAGGTCTCCTGGAGGAGAGTCTCAAATGCTTCAAAATTTTGCTCATATTCACCCACCAAATTTTCATGTGGGTACCTCTTCATTTAATTTATTTTAACTCCCACATTAAATAGGTAGAGATCAGAAAATATAGAAGCATGAGCCATGGAGCCCCCACCGCTATTAATATTATTATCAAAACATATATTAGAATATTGTAGTAAGCCTTTTTTTCTTTTTTAATATTTTTATAATAAAACTTGTATTTATTTTGGAAATGTAGTTTCCTAGCAGCAGCATTGGAGGCCGTATTGGAAGTGATCTTTCATTATCACTGGCCGATCAACAACAGTGGCAATCCGGGCCTCCACATTATCTAGCAACTGCTGCAGCATCATCAGGATTCCCACAACAGATAAGACCCTCTTCTCAAGGTTGGCTGCAGAAAAATGGGTTCCACACTCTCATGAGACCCTCATGACCCTATATAGAAAAATTCTGCTTCGCCAGTTACATTCAAATAATCTCAATCTGCTCCCTAAGTAATATCACCCTCCTCAGCTCCACCAAAAAAAATATTGTTTTCTTTTCTTAGCATGTAAAAATGGATGCAGTGTTAGACTGTGTCCATGTCCAAGTCCAACCCAGCCCCTCCTTTAGGAAGCCCATACAAGACCACAACTTTACTATTGAGGTGAAAAGAAAGGATAAAAGGAAAAAAAGAATCCAAATTGGGAACTTATTACTGGTCTTGGTCTGGGTCAGTCAAACTAACAAACGGACGAAATCTTTAACTAGATATTCTGGGCTCTGACTAAAAATTATGATCTTATATAACTCTGATTTATTGCTTTTCTGCGTTATGGTATTTATGACAGCACCTATTCGTTTCTTAATTTGGGATGTATTGCTATCACATACACATGGTTGTCAATTTGTTCCTTATTTCTCTTTGGATTGGGATTGGTCTTGAAAACTTTTCCAAGGAAAGATGCTAGCTTTGGTTGCTTTGAAGGGCAATGCTGGCTTGTTTAGCTTGACAAAAAACGTTGAGACAAATCTAGCTAAAGCTTAAACCAGCAAAAAGATACAAATAAAAAATAAAATTATGAAGCGGAGAATTGTGTATCCATAGGTGTAGGGTGGTGCTTGAGGCAGGGAAATCAGAGATACAAAATGGTTTATTTTCTGGTGTCTTGGAAATATCATCGGATGGTGATGAATAGTCTCCATCAACGGTGTCCTTTGAATCAGTTCTCTCGGCCAAAAGCAGTCAGACAAAGCCATTATGATGAGAGGGACCTATCATTGTTCGTCTAAAGCTTCAAAAGGACACTGATACATGGAGTGAGAGAGAGAAAAAGAAGCGACCAAAAGGGTATAATGGCGAAGGGGTTTGATGGGGGTTAAGTTTAACGCTTTAACCGGCTCCGCCAGTTTTAACCTTTACGACAAAACAGAAAAGTAAGTGCATAATAACAATGTTAATTAAAAGCAAAAACAGGTGTTTGTTTTATCATATAATATAATATGATGTGCAATGTACTTTTGTGGAGCAGAGGCTTCATTGGTTAATGTATTGGTTGGGTTCAACGATTCTAGACTTGTGAGTTTGAGAGGGAACAGCTTCTGACTCGTTTATGAATCAGACTCAATGTTTGATGATAAACTTTGTTATCTCGTAGGTTGCAAATTTATTAGTTTAGCATTAAAATAACCATCCATTTGCTCTTTGGAGACTTTGTGGTTTGGTAAACAATTAAAAATTCTATTAAAGCATGCACGTATTCGTCATCACCACCGTCATCTTAGATATTTCGAGAAAAAGTATGCTTCAAATAGTTTAATATAAGACCTAAGTTATAGGTTGGTTGTACTGGGGGATACTATCAAATTGGAAAAATAAAATAAAGGGGAAAATAATTAAACTTGATGAGTATGTTAACCAATAACCACATTATTTTAGTAAGGAATAACGATACCCATTCGTCTATAATATTGTTTGATGTGTTGCAGCTCACAGCCAAAAGAGGTCACAACACTTTCTTTGATTCGAATAAGTTATACAGAAAATGAGAATATAGTTAGGGAGAAAAATAGGATAAAATAAATTATTTTTATAGTTTGGTTTGGACTGTGGTAGAATCAGAAGAGGATAAAATTTTTCTTAGGTGGAGTTTAGTCCAAACAATTATTTCTCCTCATGTGGAGAGATTTCTGTGGAAGAGTCTATCTTTCTGAGTGATTATTAAAAATATATTTTTTATATGTAAATTGATAGTATACTTTTTATTAAATTTTTTTTTTATCTATATGTTCATTCTTTTACTTTCTTCTATTTATTATATTAATAAATGAATAGATATTTTCATTTTTTTTATTTTTATCCATCTGAATAATATATATTTTTACCATAGTTTTATGTCTATTTTCCCCCTCCTATATATTTCTTTCCTTTATTCAAAGTATTAAAGTAAGTTTGCATAAGATTGTCATAGATTACAAAAAAAAATCCTCTGTTAATAGTCATTACATTAAATAATGCAATATTTTAAAATTATATTTAACAACTATTAATGTACGACTATTAACTTCAAATATTCAAAATGAAAAAGTGTTGGTATTATACCCGCTTTCACTGCTAATGCATGTATGATATTTTTAGGTATGTGTATGTGAGGAGTATCGTTTACTTTTCTTTTATTTTTTTTAAAAGTTTAATTGACCAATACATTTGTGATATGATTCTGAATAGGACTAAAACAATATAATAGTACAAATTATATAGAATACCTAATTCATTAAATAAGATTAAGAATATTCATATAACATTCTAACGTGAGTTAAGAAGACAAATGTATAATTTTATGCTATATTTATAAGAAAAAATTCTAATTGTTTTTATTATGATTACAAGTATTTTTTTTAACTGTGATTATCATTTAATGATATAGTTTTGTATTATTAAAGTTGCTTTTTTTTTATCCATATATTAAAAATTGATTAAGATCTCTTTATAAATGTTGTGTATTCTTAATCCATATAAATGTATCTAAGCTGACAATATCTTGAATTTTTAAGAATTTGTATCATATATATACTTTTGTCATTAAATATTGATCTTAATGGAAGCTATAAGGACAACCGTGGTCCAAGATCCCATGTTATACAAACCCTCCTAAGAGTAAGCTAAGAATCATAGTTAGCTTAGATCATAAGAGCCACAGCCAAGATAAATGAACTTGAAGAGGTTCAGTGGTGTGGTCCAAAGATTTGATGCCATGGACCTTGATAATATTCTACGTAAAGAAAAGAAGAGAACAAAGCCAGTAAAATTGCAGATTGGAGTACAAAGTGAGACTCTGCAATTCAGTGCTCAGTTTAGGTTAAAGCTCCCTCACCTTAGATCTTTTTTCCTTGCATCCTATCAATGAAACACTGCGACACCAACAGAGGCTTGTTTCTCTTTCTCTTCCA